TAATGAGTGTGTATCATTGGAAACGTCAGGAAAATAATAGCTATTGCTCCAACTGTGCGCGGAGTGCGTTCCTGTCTAGCTGCTTATGGTGGGCTAAGCGCCAGCCCAGGTCCCGGCAATGGCTTGGCCTTCGCTCTGCGTCCCCCTCCCCAGGTGCCGCCCTGGGGACGCCCGCCCACCCGTGCAGGTGCTCCGCTCTGCCGTCACACCCACGCGCGCTTCCCTTTCCCGCCCCGGGCACCGAAATCCCAAATCCCAAATTTCAAGATTCACCGATTTTCTTCTTCTGGCAGGCGATTTGCTTTATATTATCTTTTATGATTTTATAAGTAATGTATGTTCCTTGTACAACAAGGCATGCTGAGCGTTATGAGGAGGGGAGCGACGTTCACCCCGCTTCCATCATGTCGACTCTCCCGTGAAGATATTTCCATATGTGTCTGATACATGTGAATGCACACATAATGATTTATGTAAACGCAAAGTTATTACACCTAACACATTTGATTTTTCCTTACTTTCTCTGCTTCCACAACCCCTCCGCATACAGTCTAACGTGAATACAGTATTCTGTGCATTTTCTACGTGAACACGTGCACGTACACACACAACCACGTACTCATACGTGAACCTTCACAACGTGCTTTTGGTAGTGCCTGTTTTACCAACATGCATTGGTTTTATTATGATTTTCTGATTTTTTGAATTGGTTAACACACTGAGGTCATGCTGTGTAACATTCAACAATGTGTGCGTTCTCCCATGGATTGATCTGTTCCTCTGCCGGTGGGCTTTGCCCGGATTTACAATTTTGCTCCGTTCCAACGTAGGGTGGCAGTAAACACTGGGATGTGCACACTGCATTTCCAGCCTGCCATTTCAGCGGGATGGGTCTCCAGGAGCTGGACAGCCCAGTCAAAGACACGGGCGTTGATGCGGTCGGTATTTTCACATTACTTTCAAATTAAGTTGTGAAAATGTCTATTTCTTCTAAAAATAACTAAGAAAATCCTTTCGTATGCACTCTCGCTTTTGCCAATTCATGTGGGTGACGAAGGTCACGTCACCGTCACTCCGATTTGCATTTTTCTACTTGGAGATGATCTGCTTTGTGATTTACGTTTAATCGTGGAATATTCCCGTCACGAGCACACCTGAGGCAGGAGTGACAGGGCCCTGCGCCCACCGCCGGGAGGAAGCTCGGCCTAACACGGGGCTCAGATGCCTCTCTTCTCCCGTATTCCGTCAGCGCCCCTTCCTTCCGCTTCTCTCCCTTCTTAATCTGCGCTGAGAAGTTCATCTCCGCAGCCCTCCGCTTCTCCCTGCTCTGGAGGAGAGCCGTTGCCCAGGGCTGTATTTTGCAGGCCATGAGACCTTTTCCTTTTCCTTCTTTTACTACTTATCTACGTATTCACAAAATATGCTAATGCCTTGAGCTATAAAAATATGCATAGCATTTAAATCCAACGTTGTATTTTTAGAATTTTTGCAAGCTGCAACAAAATCGTTTAAGTGCTGCAATATATCCCTTTGTGTGACTAAACGGCAGCTATTCATCTCTCTGCTCAAGGGTGGATTATTTTCTACTTTCTCACTACTACAAACAGGTATGAATATGCTTTTATCTGTCTGCCTGTGTATATCCGAGAAGTTCTCTGGAACAGACGCGAGGAATTAGAACCCTGGTCATGGATTTGCGCATCTGTGACCGTCTTGGATGTTTCCAGCATGCTGTTGGAAACCCGGGTCTGGTTAACACCTGAATGAACGCTGTTTTCCCAGAGCAAGCACACTATTCCCACTAGCTGGCAAGGACAGTCCCTGTCTTATCATACCCTCAGTAACAATTGTGTTATCAGACTCAGTAAATCTGAGTGACACAAGCAGTTATTCTGTTTTAATTTTGCATCGCCCTTACAGGGAAGTTCAGCTGCTTCTGATAGATTTAATACCATTTGAGTTCCTACGAACTGACAGTTCAAACCCTTTGAAAATTTATCGACCGAGTTTGTATTCCTTTTGTTGACTTTTAGGAATCCTTCCTATATTCTGAACATGACTCTGCTGGGTATCTAAGTTGCAAATATTTTTCATCGCTTTTTTTTGTTACATTTTAATGTTACATTTTAATGTTACATTTTTTAAAATGTTTACAGTAGCTTTATTCACAATAATCCCAAACTAGAAACAATAATTAATATCTATTAATTGGTGAATGAATAAATTGTGCCATTTTTGAGGCTGAATTCTTTTTATTGAGTTCAGACTTGCCAACATTTTACTTCATGGTTTATCATCTTTGTGCCTGGTTTAAGAAATCCTTCCCTGACTTGGTCTTATGAATATATTCTCCTAGATCAGGCGTCCTCGAACTATAGCCCGTGGGCCACATGCAGCCTGCCAAGGACATTTACCCGGCCCTCCGGGTGTTTTTGCCACGGCTGCCTGTCCTGCTTAGCAGCTGACTCATCCTGGGCCCACAGTGTGCACCCTCCAACGGTCTGAGGGACAGTGAACTGGCCCCCTGTTTAAAAAGTTTGAGGACCCCTGTCCTAGATGTTTTTCCTAAATGTTGTACATACGTTGCTTTTAGCATTGAGATGTTTTCGTCTGTGTGGAGTATTCTGTATTTTTTAACAGGGTGACAGATGAGGAGCTAATCGTTTATTTTCCGACATCTCCCCTCCTCCTCCCATGTCGTCTGCTCTGCTCGAGCTCTATGATTTGCAATGCCGACTCTTCCAAACAGGCCAATGAGAAGCAGGTGTGATTTTCAGGTGCTTTGCTGTTTGTTTTCAGGCGTCAGCCCCACACTTTCAATTACAAAGCTCCCCCGGTGTGGCCGGACAAATGCCCTCTCTTTTCTTTCTTCTTCCTTCTCTTCTTTTTTTTACATTTATTCAACAAAATTTATTGGCTATTATTTTTCCCTTTTCTTTCATAGGAAAGTTGGGAACACAAATTCCACAAAAAATTCTGCTGTGATTATTTTAACATCAACTTTATTTAGATGAAACTTGTGTACAATTTAACGCACCCATCTTACGTGGACGTTGTGGTGAGTTTTGCCACGTGCACACACCTTTGTGACTGTCACACAAGCACGGTAAAGAACTTTCCCATCGTCTGGGAGAATTTCTCTGTGCCCCTCCTCCCCACACTCGGGTCTGCTTCAGTCCCCGCGGACTGGGTGTGTCTTACCCAGAGTCTCAATTAAGCGCAGTCACACTGCGCGTCCGTGCCCGGCTTCCTTTGCCCTTGTGTTGTTACCGAGCTGTTTCTGTGGTTGCTCTTGACAGTGTTTTGTTTCGTTTTATTGCAGAGGAGTGTTCCATCACATGGATGGATAATGCCACAGTCTGTCCACTCACCTGCTGATGGACATGCAGGTGGCTTTTGGGTTTTGGCTATTACACATAAAGCTGCGATGAGTATTCCCATTCACGTCTTTGTGTGGAAATATGTCTTCATTTCTCCTGGGCAAATAAATGCCTCGGTATGGAACAGCCAAGTGGTATGGTGGGCAGACGCTTACCTTCCCGGGGAACGGCAAAACGCCATTCCGCCTGTTTGAGGGTTCTAGCTGCAAAACATCCTGGACAACACTTGCCTTTTAAAATTTCAGTCAAATATTAGAACGGTGTCTCACTGTGCCTTGAGTTTGCATTTCCGTGATGACTGATGATGTGACCATTTACCATGTGCTTATCTGCCATCTGCCTGTCTTCTGGGTGACACGCCTGTTCAAGTTTTTTGCCTGCTTCATACTGAGTTGTTTGTGTTATTAAGTTTTAAGAGATATTTACATATTCTAGATACAAGTTCTTTGTCAGAGATATATGATTTCTGAATGTTTTCTCCCAGTGACTTATATGTTTAACAGTGTCTTTCGAAAGCAAATGTTGTTAATTTTTATGGAGCCCATTTTGCCAATTTGCTCTTTGGTGGATTGTCCTTTTAGTGTAGGTCTTAAGAAGTCTATGTTTAACTCAAGGTCACAAACTTTCTCCCATGTAGTCTTTAAATATGTGCAGTTTATTTTATGTCAACACTAGCCAATAAAGCCGTAAAAGAGCAATGCTAGGTGTTGATAGACAAGAGTCAAGAGATTTCAGCGTGCTATTTTGCTAGAACCCTTACGCAGTTGAAAATCCATGTATAACTTTTGACTTCTGAAAACCTAACTCCTGAGAGCTACTGTTGACCTGAAGCCTTACCAGTGACAAACAGTAGCTAAACACACACTTTGTGTATGTACTACATACTGTGTTCTCACAACAAAGTCAGCTAGAGAAAAGAAAATGCTACTGAGAAAACCACAAGGAAGAGAAAATGTATTCACTATTCGGATCACCATAAAGTCTTCATCATCATCGTCTTCACGCTGCGTAGGCTGAGGAGGAGGAAGAGGAGGGGTTGGTCCGGCTGCCTCGGGAGAGGCAGAGGCAGGAGAAAATGCGTGTATAAGTGACCCTCACAGTTCAAATCGGTGTTGTTCAAGAGTCAACTGTATTTTCTAGAGGCTTAAGTGTATTAAAATAAAAACTTAATTTTGTAAGGATTTAAAAAAACAGAGAGTTTGAAGAGGGCAATATATACAGGGTTTTGGAGTGGGACCTGTGACCAAATCCTGGTTCTGCCATTTCCTTCCTGTGTGTTCTTAGACAAGTCACTTAACTTCTCTGAGTCTCAGTTTCACAGCTGTAAACCAGGAATAGCAACCACGTACCACAGATCTACCCTGATTAACGAGAAAAGCATTTGCAAGAAGCTCCCGGAGAGCCTTGCCTGCCACGGACCGTCAGGGACAGCACGTTTCCTTTTCCAACCTAAGTGGCTAGGCCTGCCCCCAGATCCCTCTTTGGCTACAAATACTCCATGTCCTTTACCGCCTGACGTCACAGCACTTAGGAAGAGGGGTGACACAGGACACACCCCAAACTGCAGGGGCGGTTTCCACAAACGGTTCAATTACGAAGTTGGCCTGGGCCACTCACTGCTCAGAGCAAAGTCACTTTTATTGTAATGAAGTTTCAAAAGGCAGTTACATTAGTTACACATGTACACAACTGACTTAGTAACTGTTAGTCACAGAGAACATTCAGGAAATACAAATGCTTTACCCACAGCACATTCACATCCATACGAAGTTAGGTTAAAGAGAAACGATTAAGCGCTTGAGCTGTCCACTGACGCCTGCTCGTGAAATCTTTTTTTTCTTTTTCTTCTTCTTTTTTTTTTTTTGTTAAAAAGGAAACTGGGAGTGTTGGCTGGAGCCGGCGGCCCTGTCCCCGCACAGCCTGTGCCCCCATTTCACATCAGTGGCCACAGGCCGAGGAACCCTGCCTGTGACACTGTGCCCACACCACTGTGTGGGGCTTCTTCAAGGTGCCCCGGACTCACGGCTCATTAGGACTGGGATTTGGGGGGGCAAGTTGGGACACAGCGACTGAGACCAAACCCACACTGTCTGGTGACACAAAGAGGGGTCCACTGACTGCTTTCCGGCTAACGCTGCTGGGTCGCTGGCTTGCCCCTGTCTACACAGCGGGTCAGAGCTGACACGGGCGGGGAGCTCAGAGAAGCAAGTGTTCACGACGCAGGCGCAGCCCAGGGGCTGCCCAGAGCGAGGCGGGGGCGGGGAAGAGACCACCGTTCTTTCTCTGGGGCCAGCAGGGGCAGAGCGTGCAGCGGGCTAAACTGGAGGTGCAGGGAGCTCCACTGCCCGGAGGAGTGAAGCCCCTCAGGGCTATGTCCGGCACTGTCAGAGCCCCCGCTGTCCCCTGCTCGTGAAATCACAAAGGGAGACCTCGGTGTGTTGGGGAGTGGAGCAGAACATGGCTGTTTACGATGGCTCTCTCATCCCCTGAAGCCAAAACGAAAACCAAAAGGGGGGGTGAGTGACATGCCAGTGGCGCATTCTAGAACCATCCGTGGCCACCGTCACAGTCGCTGACTGGGCTTTGGTGGGGCCTCACTGCAGCTGCATCCACGTCCTTGCCACGGCTCCGCACCGCCGCGTGGCCCTCGCCTGAGCACAGCCCTCTGCTTGCGCAGCCCACGGAGCGTCTGGCAGCTCAGATGGGGACTGAGGAAGCGGGTCCCGGAGCGGCACGGAGCCACCAGCGCCTGCCCAGCTCTGTGTGGGCTGAAGGGCGCGGAGCAGAGCGCTCTGCCCTCCCGAGCTGGGCAGCACTGGCCTGGGAGGATCTCTTGCAAACCTGGATAATTAAACCCTCCGGGGCTTTAATTCTCACTCCAGTTTGTCTCCAAAATCTTTGGTGGGAGAATCCCTCGGTGCGGATCCTCCCAGCCCTGGCCTCCTCCTCCTCCTGCTCCTCCTCCGTCTCCCCTGACCCTGGTCCCAGTGGCAGCTCCTAGGACTCGCGAGAGTCCCTGAAGCAGGCGGGGCATGGAGAAGACAACGCTGACCAGACTCTCCCTCATGTCCCCACGACGCCTGGGACGGGGCTGGGGGGGAAGGAGGCAGGGCCTGTCCGGGCCTGAGTCCCACCCTAGGCCCGGCACTGGGCCGGGGCTCCCTGACCCTGCAGGGGGAGACGCAGAGGGAAGGAGGTGCGGCAAGGCTCCTCGCCTGTCTCTGCTGCCTCCCTGGGTGCCCAGCGCAGCCAGACAGGGCAGGAGCACCACCCAGGGGCTCACCTTGGTCTGCACCCCAGAAAAGCCCCGCTGCCCTCCAAAAACACGAGGCAGAAACAAACGCAAGCCCTCAAGAGCTAAAGGCTGCAAGGAGTCTGTTCACTTCACTGAGAAATACTTCTTGGTCCAAAGGCTACCTTTGTGCCTTTTGTTTTTTGGAAATAATTATACCCACAGCCTAGGGCAAGCTCCAGGCTACAGGAGGCAGAGGTGGCCCTGGGGCAGGGGCGCAGAGGGAGCCCGGAGCTGGGCTGCGCTTGAGGAGGTGCGCATTTCAGCCCCCACCTTGTCCCCGGAAGCAAGACAGTGTCGCCCTGAGGCTGGAGTGCACACACGCGCGTCCACACTCAGGCCCAGCCGCTCACATGCCGTCTGGAAACTGCAGGGTCAGGCTTACGTCAGCGTCTGGGGACTGGGGTCCCGCGAAAGTGGCCACCAGCCACCATCCACCGGTGAAGCTTCCCCCAGGGCTGAGCAGTGGGTCTCCTGGGACGCCAGAGTGCCACCTCCAGAGCCACAGGGCAGAGCTGGCACAGGACGGGGGGCCTGGCGTTCTGCCCCTGCCACCCCCTGCACAGAAGGGCCCAGGCCGCTGTGACCTCAGGGTGCTCGGGGCTGGGCACAGGGCCTCCTCTGGCCAGTGGGCGAGGATGAGACGCCAACACGGAATCAGACCCGCGTGAGGAGGGCGGGGCACCACGGGCTCCCGCGGGAGGAAGGGGCGGCTCCTGTAAGAGGGGGAAGCTGAATCTGCACTGGGGCTTGGACCAAAGAACTGACCTAGCCAAGTGAGCAGGTCCCCAGCTGGGACTCCTGGTGCCAGCCCAGCTCCGGGCCCCTGGGAACAGGGCTGCATGGCTCAATTGCACACTGGGTTCTAGACACACACCCTGGCCACACGGGACAGACACGAGGCACAGCACACCCATGGGACAGAGCACACTGCACATCCGTCCATGCACAGAGTTCGTGTAGAGACATCAGTGGAGCCGGGGGCACCCCTCTGTGCCCCGCGCCCCTCAGCCAGTAGCCATCCTGCCACCTGTGTCCCAAGCCCACTCCAGCACCCCCCAGCTGACGTGAAAGGCAAGAGGGATCCTCTGCAGCGTCCCGGCGCCGCCTGCTGCTGCTGGGGCTGGCTCTCTCTGGGCACGAAATGAACTTGTTACGAGGGTAAATTGTCCATTAAGAGATTATTCACAACCAAATGTAAGGACCCAACAGGCTCACCCCCGAGCACACACAGGAAAAATACAATAAATACAGCTGGTCCCCAGGCGACCACCAGGGCCCTGGTCAGTGGCCGAGCTGCCGCGGCTGCGGCTGGGAGCAGGGCAGTGCCGAGCCTGGGGACATGGCGGGAGGGTGGCTTCTGGTGGCAGGTCCTGCCACAGGGCGAGCAGGGCAGGGGCGGGGCCCGTGTGCAGGGGCGGCGACGTCAGAGCAGGGGTGGCGCGGTGCGGCGGGAGCCTCACTCAGAGAACGGCGGGAACATGCCCAGGTCGGCAAAGTCTTCGATGTTATAGTTGCCGGTGCCCTGGGTTGGGTCTCCTGGCATGGGCAGCATGTCCTGCAGAGGAGAGGGAGAGAGAGCCAGGGCAGTCAGCGTCTCCGCCCGCGCACGGGACTCAGCCCAGAGCCCCGCCTGCCACTCACCCTCGCGCCAGCTCAACAGGGCGAACGCCTGAGGCCCTGGGAAACGGTTCTCACAGCCCAGTCACCAGCGTGGGCTGTGTCTATCCGAGCCAGGGACACAGGGCGGGCAGGAGCCCCACTGGCGGGAGAGCCCAGCCTGCCGCCACGCTAGGTGCACACAGCAGCCAGTAAAACCCAACATGGGGTGGGGCAGACAGAGGATGTGTGGGGCGCGGGTGGCTTGTCTCTAGCCTGTATCTTAGGGAAGGGCCAAATCCCTGCATGGCTGGACTTCAATTTTAACAAGTCCTTCAAGTTCTCTGGGCCCCAACAATCCACCCAGAAAATCGGGGTAGCAACCTTTCAATTGCTTATGGCAAGTTTCCCAGTGTGTGTTCTGCTGAGTTCTCAGCCCATGCAATACTCTATGAGAAAGGAATTCTGTGGACAAATAAGTTTGGGAAACAACGCAGCCTTTGCCAGCCTCCTAGAAATCTAGTCCTCATTGGTATAGTAAAAGCTCTGCAATAAAGTCGTGCAATACAGAAAATGAATAACTTTGTCTAACCACACTTTCCTAAGCGTATTTGGCCAGGAGTTCTCTGTAGCATCGTGACCATGTCAGCAAATGCTGCCTCATGGGCTGCTGCATGGCCCGAGGACAGGCCAGGATTACAGCCTTTTGGCAGGAGGAGGGAGGGGCAGTGACTGCAGTCGGGAGGCCTGGGCGTGGGTGGGGCTCCTCCAAGCAGTTGAAGAAATGCTGCCTTCTGGAAGCCCGAGTAACAAATGTGTTCTAGACCTTTGTCTGCTTGGGATGAGTTTGGGTGAGTGAGGAGGGGGATTAGAGCTGTCCGCCACCTGGTTCCCACCCCATCCTGGCTCTGCAGGGCAGGCCTGGGGCACGAGACTGGTGCCTGGCTCCCATTACGAGGGCCTGGGGATGGGCAGAGCTCCTGGGTGAGGGGCAGTCAGTGGGCTTGTATCCCCATTTGGAGCCCTCCAGCCAAGCCCAGGAAACCCAAAAAGGGCAGAGCCCTGTGCTGGGGGGCTGCGGCGGTGCCCGTGCCAGCCGCATGGCCTGCCCTGGGCACGAGGGGTGGGCCGGGAACGTCTCAGGTAACAGAGAGGTGTGGGGTGCCAGGCAACCCTCAGTCAGAGAGGCCCCAGTTAACTGCAGAGCAGAGCGGAGCCGGGGCAGGGCTGGCACTGGCGTGGGGGAGGAGGGTGGCCCGTGGGAGGCACCAAGGCCCGGGGGCTGCAGCTCTTAGGAGAGGCCCCCTTCCACCTTTGGCCTGGGTCGCTCGGGGTCTGGGGCAGGGAAGTGTCCAATCGCAGCCCCTGTGAGGCTCGGCCGAGGCCAAGGCCCTGCACCCTCCCGCATGCACCTGAGGTTTCTACCCCCGGGTCCCCCCGCCCAGGCGGGCCGGGACTCAGGATGGCCACCGGGCAGCAGAGCGGGGAAAGGAAGCAGAGAGAAGGCGCCGGTACCTACGAGAAGGCGGTGCTCGCCCGATTTACCTGGAACGCCTCAGTCTGACCGGGCTGCTGGTGGGAGTGCTGCTCACCGCTCTGCTGGCCGTGGTGCTGGCTCTGCCACTGCGACCAGACTTCCGAGGGCCGCCCCTGGAACTGCCCGCCGCTCTGTCCACTTTCAGCTGAAAGAGCCGACGTACAGGACACTTCCTTCAGAAGGCGTCCGTGGCCCCGCCCGTGAGACCTAAGAAGCTCTGCAGCTCGAGGCCCACGTTTCTGAAAGGCACAGGCCAGCCGGGCTGGCAGCACGTGTGCCCAGAGGAACAGGCAGAGCGGGTAAGACAGGCGTGGGCCTATGTCAGGGAGGGCGGCTCTCTCTGGGTCGCCTGCCAGGGGACCAGGCGCTTTGAGCCCTGGAGGCTCCCATGCCGTTGGTGACCACCCATGGAAACTGTGGGGGGGGGGACCCAGAGCCTGGGCTGGGACGGGCCCTCTCCCGGGCAGCGCGCTGATGGCACTGGGAGGCAGACTCGGCTGCCATCGCTCCTGACCCCCCGATCCCATGGCCTGCACTGTGAAGGCGTCGCCCCGCTGAAGGAAGAACTTGACCTCAGCATGCCCCTGAGGACCGCCAGCCCATGCTCTGCCTTTGAGCCACTCAGGGAAGCCACACATGGCCTTCTACGTGGTCCTCGTACAGGGCCAAAGCCACACCCCTTTCAGGCTGGCTCGTGGGCACAGGATCCCCCAGCATCAGTTTGTTCCAGAGGGAAGGAGTTTGGGCCCTGGTCAGACAAGAAGATAAGTGTCCTCTGCAAATTAAATCAGCGAATTAACGTATGAATGAGAGCCGTTTTCCTCCCATCTACAGTTTACAAAAATATACTGAAAGGAAAAACGAAGATAAGAAAAATGAGCAAAATTTTGTGTAAAACATGTTTGAGATTTAAACAAAGAGGAGGCTTAAGAAGAAACACCCTTCAAAGAGGATATCATTAGGCACATTGAAACCTTAGGGACTTTTTCCTTGTTTCAAATCATCCAGTAACACTCTGGGGACAGCATGTCCACCTGTGGGTGGCAGGACGGGCCCATCTCGCCCCACCTTGCTTTTTCCAGCAGCCTCGCTGACCACGGGCAGGGCTCAGCCCCAGCCCACGAACCTACGTGCTAGGGAGACCGGAGATGAGGTTGGAAAGTGTTCAAGGAGAAGGATCTCTTGAGCTTTCTCTCTTCTCCCTCTGAGACACACACACACACGCGCGCGCACACACACACACACGCGCGCGCACACACGCACGCACATGCACACACACGCACATCCATCCACCCACCAACGCCGCCTGAGACATCGTTTAACAAAACGCACGAGCTCCCTGCAGTGCTTCCCTCGCTGCGTCTCAAGCTCTGCACCAGGACAGCTGGCGAAGGGCTCTGCACAACCAGGGCAGCGCAGCGCCCGCCGCCTCAGCATCAGAGCAACACAGACCTACGGTGCACGCAGGGGCCGCTGCGAGACACATCACCCGCCATCGGAAATGCCTCTTCCTGGCAAGCTCACACCTGGCTCCAGGGACCAAGAGGAGTCTCCTCAGAATCCTGCCCACAGGCCTGATCTGCAGATCTGACCCTCTAGACCTGGCTGAGGGTGCAGACGGGCCGGTTTACAGCGGTGGCAAGATCAAGTGAGCAGCAGCACCTGCTCCCCCGTGAGGGGGTTCCCACCGACACCCGCCCACTCCGGAGCCTGCAGAGCTGAGCACACGCTCCTGACCACTGCTGGGGGGAGGGTCACAGCCACCTCTGCTGAGGAGGGGCGTGGCAGGCTGGGGAGGCCCTGCTGTGTTCAGGGGAGACGACTGCCACGCAGGCTCGCACCAGGACGCTGCTCCAACACCCTGGGGGGGTTGCCTGTCACAAACCGATGTCCCCTGCCCTTTCCCATTCTAGCTGCGTGGCTGCCTCTCCTCCCATTGCCATCAACCTTCTCAAGCCAACACACGCGTCTCCGCCTTTCCCGCCCCCCTCGGCCAGTGCGACCACTCTGTGGCTGCAGGCCGCGTCTGCCCTGCCAAGCCCAGCCGCAGGCAGGCAGGGCTCCACTCTCCCGTCTCTCGAGCATTCACTCTCTCCATCCTCTGTCTGAAGTTGCCCTGACTGCTGGACTGCACTTGATGTTGGCTCTGCTCCTCTTAGACCCTCCTTCTCAGGCGCTCCCTGGTCCTTACTTGCAACTCTGTCCCGTGACACTGCGGTCCCCAAGCCCTGGGCCCAGCCTGGTGCCAGTCAGTGGCCTGTTAGGAACCGGGTGGAGAATTGCTTGAACCGGGTGGAGAATTGCTCAGCACGGTCTGAGCGGCGGGCAAGCGAGTGGAGCTTCATCTGCATTTATAGCCACTCCCCCCTGCTCGCATCACACCTGAGCTCCGCCTCGCCCTCCCCGTCCCTGGAAAAATCGTCTTTCAGGAAATCGGTCCCTGGTGGCAAAAAGTTTGGGGACCACTGCCTTGACACATGCTGTAAGCAGGTCTCCCCTCTCAGAAAGGACAAGATGGGAATAACCTCTTCTGTTTGTGAACTGGCTCATTCATTTATTCACTTGGCAAATATTTTCTGAGCTCCTGCTGACACAGGCTCCAGGCTGGCTCCGGACGGTCACTGGAACACAAGCCGGCTTCTGTCCCGACGAGCTGACGGCGTGGCTGGCGGGGAGGCGGCGGCAGCAGCAGTTCCACGCAGCTCAGAGCTGCTGCGACAGGGCTGAGCAGAGCCAGGACAGAAGCTCTCAGGAGGGACACGGAACTCAGTCAGTTGCAGGAGGTGGAAAAGGGTTCCCAGAGCCCTCAGAGGAGACCAGAGGGAGATCAGTAGTTAACCAGGGCAGGGCCTGGAGGTGGCTGACGGTAATTCTGGACAGAAGCGTCAGTCTGCTCAGAGCGTGGCAGTGGAAGGGGCCTGGCGCCTCCAGGCACCCACAGGAGACTTGGGATGGGGGAGGGACAGTGTGACCAGGCGAGTGAGATGGGGCTGGAGCGGAGCACGTGGACTGGAGATGACACGGAGACACCGACCGTGCTGAGGGGTGGGGGTGGGAAGTGCTCGAGTGTCTATGGATTTAGTTCCGGCTTCTCTCCAGAGCTTCGGCTCCACCCACCCTGCCTCGGTGACACGTCTGAGCAGTGTGACAGCCACTCAAACACGCATGTCCACAGCGATCCTCCCCCTTCCTTGAGGACTCCAGAGAGGAACGATGCGGCACTGGCTCCTCTCACTAGCGCCACACATCCACGCGGTTGGGCCTGTGACTCCCCTTGACGCCCCCTCTCAAGCCATTCCCCTTGTTCCCTCCTCACATCCTGCCCCCCAGCCCCCCCCGGAGCCACACAGCGACTGGGGCTGTCCTTGTCAGACACGAGTCCACTGCTCACAGGCTGTGCTGCTGACCACGTCTGTGAAGTCTGTGTTCTTCAGGGTCGGCACAAAGACCCTCCATGATCTGCTTTTGTTTTCTAGCCTTGTCTCCTACGGCATGTCACTGTGACCCGCCCCTCTTGCCCTGGCCACGTGACAATACCTGGAAGTCCCCCAGAGCACCACACCGGCCACCTCTGTGCCGCTGCATGTTCTCTCCTCACGCACACGCTTCTCCTCTGTGCTGGCAGATTCCGTGCGGGTTTGAAGCCCTAATCGGGTGTGGCCGCGTGCGCCTCCCTCCCTGGCTGCCGGGGCCTGTCGCAGACGCTGACTCGCTCCACCTGCAGCTGAGGGCCGAGGCGCGCCCACACCCATCCCACCCGTGCTGAGAATGAACGCAGGTGCTTGGGGAAGTGTTTGCGGGAGCGATGAGGGACGGAGAGAGGGAAGGGGAACTGGGGGCAGGAAGGGAGAACACGGACATTCTACAAACTTCTCTCTACTTGCACTGGAGGCTTCCTGGGTGTAGTGACTCGTAAGGAAACGAGTGCACGCTGCCATCGGTCTCCCCTCAGGGACGACCAGAGACGGGGTGGGGTGTCGGGGACGAGGACTAGAGGAAGATTAGCTTTCTGTGTTCATCTGGGGGTACTTGACTCTATTAATTACAGATACGATATTTCAGAATAAACATTCGTTAATGTCTGCAAAGGGAAAAAACCAATTAACCAGCTTGCGTTGGGAACAGCATAAGATGATAAGGAAGGATGGACCCGAAGTAGTGTTTTTGGAGTGCTGACCGTGCACACAGTATAACTATGTGTTACGAATCATGCTTGGCATTTCACATGCACTGTTTCATTTTATCTTTATTCCAACTATAAGAAATGGGTTCACTATCTGCATTTTTCAGATAAGGAAAGTGAGGCTCAAAGGCGGCAGGAAATTAGCCCAACTCATTTAGCATAAAAATGTCTAGATCTTTCCGACGCTGCAGCCCACAGCACTTTGTGGATAAATGCAGTGCTCAGGCCAAATGTTCACCGCGCTGGCCCTGAGCAGTGTGTTAGCAGCACTGGTGACCGAGACTGACCCAAGCCATTGAGAAAGACGGGCGAGTTGTTGGGCACTTGTCACAGAATTGTCACCAGCTCTCGCAAGGGAGGCCCCAGCCCCCGAGAGAGGGCCTGGGGGTGGCCCCAACTCCGACTCGAGGCCTCCTAGAGGAAGCACTCCAAAACTGTGACATGAGAGGTGAGTGCGTGGCCAGGAGATGGGAGAGTTAGGGAAAAAGTCCTCTCGGCCTCTGTGCTGCAAGGCTGCTCCCTGCCGGGTTGTATGCGTGAGCTCTCCGACTACACAGCGAGCGAGAACCTCCACGTGGCCTCTCCCGGGGGCCACAGCACTGTGGGTTCCCACACGCGCAGGGACAGTGGACGTGGCAGCCCGTGCCTGTCCCGCCACATACCCACAGGCCTCTTTCTGGGAAGAACCCTGTGGTCTTCAATGCCTTCATGTTACCTTATTGTCCCCAAAGCCATGTATATGGCTTAAACCACGAGCTGGGTTCCGGCACACCGTTTCTTCTGCTCTGTGGCTTCCTGAGCAAGGCCCGGCCGCCTGCAGCCCAGGTGTGCAGACGGACTGCGCCTCTGGCTCTGCCATCTGGGCCACTGGGTGGGCCTGCAGATCCCGGCTGGAGTCCTGAGGAGTGCGCAGGTTTCTGGGTTGTAGACGCAGGGATGATGACATCTTCCTTTTGTGAAAC